AGGGGCTCCTGGGCAGGAGTCGGCGGGGAGTGGTCGGCCGCAAGCAGTGAGCTGGGGTCCTTCCCCGGGGGTGTCAGGACTGAGGGTGGGAAGCAGAGGAAGCTTCCTTCTGGCTCCTCCCCCTCCTCTCAGATCTGCCTCCTGGAGACCGCGCCATCGCCATCGCCATCGCCATCGCCATCGGCGGACAAGAGCTGGGCAGGAGGACTTGGCCGCTAAGCAGACGGGAGCAAGGTCTCAAGTGTCAGTGACATTTGAAGACATAGCTGTGCTCTTTACTCGGGATGAGTGGAGAAAGCTGCAACCGTCTCAGAGAAACTTGTACCAGGACGTGATGCTAGAGAACTATAGCAACCTGGTCTCGCTAGGACTCCCATTTACCAAACCGAAAGTGATCTCCCTCCTGCAGCAAGGAGAAGACCCCTGGAAGGTAGAAAAAGAAAGTTCTGGAGGCTCCTGTCCAGGATGGAAGAACAATCATAAAACCACAAAGCCAGCTCAAACACAAGACAATTCATTTCAGGGACTGATGGTGAATAGATTAAAAGGGATGGACCCTGCGACTTGAAATCAGAAAAAACTTGCATGTATGAAGGCAAATTAGAGAAAAAGGACAAAAAGGAAAATATCGAGATAGATTTAGTCACTCACAGAAAAATTCTCACTGTAAAAAGAAGTCATAAAAATGGGGAATTTAGTCAAAACTTATGTCCAAAGTCAGACCTTGGCAGGCAAAAAGTAGTTTCCAGAGATAAAACCCCATCAAAATGTGAAATACAAGGAAAAAACTTCAAACGAATTTCAGACTTACGTAATCAACCAAAAATCACAGCAGAGAAATGCTATAAATGTAGTATGTGTGAGAAAACCTTTATTAACACCTCATCCCTTCATAAGCATGAAAAAATCCGTAGCGGTGAGAAATTATTTAAATGTAAAGAATGTTCAAAAGCCTTTAGCCAATGTTCTGCTCTTATTCAATATCAAATATCACTTACTGGAGAGAAACCTTACATATGTAAAGAATGTGGGAAAGCCTTCACTCTCAGCACTTCCCTTTATTAACATCTAAGAACCCATACTGTGGAGAAATCCTACCGATGTAAAGAATGCAGTAAATCCTTCAGTCACGCTCAGGCCTTTTTATACATCAAAAAAACCACGCTGGAGAAAACCCTTATAAATACAATCGAGGCAGGAAGGCTTCTGGTTGCAACACATCCCTTCCAGGAGGTCAAAGAAGACCTATTTATGTAATGAATGTGGCAACGCCTTTAAGTCTAGCTCATCCCTGCATTACCATCAGAGAATTCACACTGGAGAGACACCTTTTAAGTGTAGTGAGTGTGGCAGAGCCTTTAGTCAGAGCACATCTATTATTCAGCATGAAAGGATTCACACTGGAGAAAAGCCCTACAGATGTAATGAATGTGGAAAAGGCTTCACTTCTATTTCACGTCTTAATAGGCACCGAATAATTCATACAGGAGAGAAGTTTTACAACTGTTATGAATGTGGCGAAGCCTTAAGTTCCCACTCCACACTTATTATTCATGAGAGAATTCATACTGGAGAGAAATCATGCAAATGTAAAGTGTGTGGGAAAGCCTTCAGAGAGAGTTCGGCCGTCATTCAGCATCAGAGGATGCATACTGGAGAAAGACCCTATAAATGTAACGAGTGTGGGAAAACGTTCAGATGTAACTCATCCCTTAGTAATTATCAGAGAGTTCATACTGGAGAAAAACCTTATCGATGTGAGGAATGTGGGATCTCTTTTGGCCAAAGTTCAGCTCTTATTCAGCATCGAAGGATCCACACAGGAGAGAAACCCTTTAAATGTAATACATGTGGGAAAACTTTCAGACAGAGTTCATCACGCATTACACATCAGAGAATTCATACTGGAGAGAAACCCTATGAATGTAACACATGTGGAAAACTCTTCAATCAGAGATCATCCCTTACTAATCACTATAAAATCCATGTTGAAGAGGACTAGAAAATAGATTTGCATGTGTGAAAATCTTAAACCAAAGCTCATCAGAGATACACGTTAAGTGTAATGGATATGAAATGCTATGATTATTTAGTCCTCATCAGATGTTAAATTTCACAGATAAACCTTGACTGCATAATAGATTAGAGGAAAGTGTCCATGCCTTTCAGACTCTGAAAAATAACCTGGGGTGAAGAATTCACATCCAGAGGCTTTGACTTTGGGCATCTGTAGTGAAAGACATCTACTTTCCGTTCTGCAGCGGTGCATGCTAAACACGTGCGGTCATAAACATTGGAGTGGGTGGGGAGGTATGTTCTGGATTTCTTTTCTGAAAACATCAAACTATACACTGGTAATATTTTTTATAACTGACAGTAGCATATGAGAGAATTGATCAAATAAATTATACATTTTTTAGAGAAAAGGACCAAAATAAAAGATAAAAATGAACAGTAAACTACCTCTCGGACTCAGGTTTGCCCTTTTCCTGACCTAATGGTAAACTTTATGCATGAATTTCATTAAAAACACAAAAAGTAATAAAAAAGATTGTGCTTATACTCCATAGTTCTTGACAGTTAACAACAACTTTCAAAATTTCAAAATACTGAATTTTAAAGATAATGTTTCAAATATTTCTTATAATTTTGTATAATTTTGTTTGTGACTCTATAACAACAGAGACATTGTGGTTTTAAATATTTTTGAGAAAATATTTACATGTAAACTACTCAAATTGTTGAAAACCAAATGCCCAGCATATTAGTCACATATAAACCTTCTCAATTCAGCCCTGCCTACCAAGTATTCTGTGAAATACCATCTGCTAGCAAAGATCATTCTCTTTTTCTTCCTTCACCATCTTTCTCAAGATAATCCTCTGGTGTGGTTGCTCTTTTGCAGCCTCTACTGATTACAATGCTGGGCTGGAAAACTCCAGGTTATTTTATGTTATAAATCCTTTCATATATCTTTTCTAATCCTCTCTGCCAGGCAGAACTATTTATGGTGCCAGGCCATCTTTCTAAGAGCTTCTGTCGGCTTACTTAAGATCCACCTTAGTTCCATAGTTTTCTTTTTTTTTGTTTGTTTTTTTTTGTTTTGTTTTTGAGAGGTTTTCACTCTAGGGCACGTGTGCTCGCTAGACAGAGAGAGAGAAAAAGCAGGAAATCACACCCCAGGGGGGATGGTCATGCCGTAATCCCTTCTCTTCCATTCTCCTCTCGGGATCTTGGGCATGCACGCACACGTGCCCGGCATGAGTTCTAAGCCACCGGGTCTGGGACACGAACCACGGTCGACTACATGGGAGTCCAGCAACATAGCCATTATGCTAACTGCTGGTTCCCTATAGTTTTCTGATTAATCTTCTGGTATGACATTCTCTGTCCAATAGTGAGTATTTCCAATTTCTGATTCAATGCAACAAGCATTATTGTACTTATGCAAATAACCCTTCTGCCACAAAATAAGAATACGTCCAAATATTTCCCATTCAAGAGGGATCAGGAAAGAAAAAAGTTTATGTTTCCATTTTTAAAAAAAAAGAAAAGAAAAATATTTTAACAAATTGCTGAACCTATCAACAACTCAAAAGAAAGTAAAATGTTTAAATTGGGGAAACAAAGCATATTTATAAAAAAAAAAAAAGAAATCAGGAGTGTTTTACTCAAAATTCTTAAAATTCTATTTCACAATTTCAGTCTTATGCTCAAACTCTCTTCTGTTGAATATGCAGTGTTACTGTAGTCCAATATTTTGGTTTCAATCCTGAAAGTTAACATTATTATTGATATTTCTTGTCCCTAGCATTAAATTTGTCATTTTCTTGGTTGCCTTTTGTTCTTTTATTTCTGTACGTGTCGTTAATTTTCCTAGTAGAGCACTCCTTTCAGATCTTCTTGAAGAGGGACCAGCAGTTAGCGTAATGGCTATGTCACTGAACTCCCATATAGTCGACCATGGTCCAAGTCCCGGACCCGGTGGCTTAAACTCACACTGGGTGAGTGTGCGTGCTTGCCCAAAATCCCAAGAGGAGAATGGAGGAGAAGGGATTGCTGCGTGGCCATCCCCCCTGGGGGTTGATTTCTTGCTTTCTGTCTCTCTGTCTCTCTGGCAAGCGCAAGCGCCCTATAGAAAAAAAAAAAACTCTAAAACCAAAGAACTTCTTGAAGAGTGGGGCTGCTGTTGGCGAATTCTTTCGGATTTATCCTTTCTTTCCATAAAATAGATAATCTTGCCAGGTATAGTATTCTTGGTTGAAACTGTTTTTTCACTTAGCACTTTGAATATATTTTCCCAATCTTCCCTTGCTCACAGTTTCTGATGAGAGGTCTGAGGTCAACCTGATTGGATAAACTTTATAAGTATCCTGACGTTTCTCTCTTGTCAATTTTAATATCTTGCCTTTGTAGATTTGGCCAGTCTGGCTATGATGTGCCTTGGAGAAGATCTTCTTGGGTTGATTCCATTAGGGGCCCTTTGTATTTCTTGGGTCTGGATATTTGAATGCCTCTCTAGATTTGGAAAGTTTTCTTCCAAGATTTCATGGAATAGATTATCAATGTCCTTATTAGTTTCCTAACCTTCTGGGATACTGATTATCTGGATGTTTGGGCACTTACTGCTGTCTAGTATTTCTCATATAGTATTCTCATTTTGGGGGGTTATTTTTATATTTTTTTTCTAGATCAGAGGTTTTGCCTTCCACATCCAAAATTCGATTTTCTGCAATGGACTAATCTGCTTTTAATGTTTTCAAGGGAGGTTTTAATTTCCTGAATGGCAGCCTTCATCTCTAACAGTTCCATTAGATTCTTTTTTATGATACGTATGTCCTCTTTCAGATCATGGAAGAACTTCCTCACCTCCTGGAACTCGTCATCTCTTTTTTCCTGCATTTTCTGGAGTTCATTATCTCTCAACTCTTGTATCTCATTTAGTTTTGACTCTATGAATTCTGAAGTCTCTATCAGACATTTCCGTGAATTCCACTGTACTGTCTGTGGATGATGCAGGATTTTTCTCATGTTTCTTGTGCCTCTGTGGTTGTTTCTGGTCATTCTGTGACAAAGTCTATCCTCCACTGTGCTGGGCAATGTGATATCCACAGAAAGATTAGGAGTTCAGATTTATAAAAGAAATTTCTTCATTAAAGCAGGAGGTTCAATAAGCGGTGAGGATTTCAATGACTCAAAGTACTCAGATGCTTGGCTAGAGAGATGACAGATACACAGATACATAGATAGATGATAGAAAGAGATAGATAGATGACAGATACGTAGATAGATAGATATTTTATACTAAATTGTGGGTGAGTCCCAAGGGTTGGAAATTAAATGTGCTCCAGGGGAAACTTGAGGGGGGGCGGCCATTGAGACCACTTACGGAAAGAATCAGTTTTACAGTAATCCCTTGAGGAAATATAAATTTAACACTGATTCATTTGTTAAATGTGTCAGCAAACTCCTAGAAAACAAGCCTTCAAGACTCAAGAGTCTCCAGAGATGCAGGAAGTGCAATGAACCAAATATTGCCTTCATCTGGAGTTTTCCTTATCAGATCCAGTGAGGAAAAGATGCTTGGTACTGAGGTTATGTTCGACTCCACCCTGCCCATCATCTTCTACACGCTGAGCCAGGAAGACCGTCATTGTGTGTAAGGGAAAAGACCAGTAGTCCGTATCACAACCACTGTGATATACCAGACTACCTTTCGTTTTATGAATCTGATTAGTCACTGCATCACTAGAGAAACTTGAAGGAGATAGTATAATATAGTGTAAAAGTTGTATATGTAAATAATGTATTCCTGGGATGAAAAGGCATGCCCTCTCTCTGAGGCACACTTAAAAAAAAAAATAGATCATCTATACCATTTTTTTCAATATGACTTTATGATTATTAGAAATGATTCTTCTGAAAACAATCTCACTTTCTAGGAGTAACCGCGTAGTGTGTGCCTTTTTGAAGCTACCTGAGAATACAGTATCCTAAGTGAGGGCCATTTAGAAGGGGTCCTTGAGATATTAATCAAGCTATTATACTTGGGTAGGTTGACTGCTACATTGGGTGGTGTTTCTTGTACTGGAAAAGAGTATATGAAAAAGCTAGTCTTCTCAGATTATAGTTTAAACAAGGATTTATGAACTCCTTAAGTCTGGAAGCAGTATGTTTATGACCCAAGAAGGTGAATATCTCATTCCAATAGCACAACTGTTCCCAGAAAGCAATTTTGGAGACTGAAGGATGTGGTTATGTAGAACTTTGTGGAGTCAGTTCATCCACCCATGTGGTATCTCAGTCTTTCCACAAAGCTCCTCCACCTTTGACTGTTCCATTATTTATCAGAACTTTCTCCAAAGGCTTCAGGAAAGATAATGTCACTACTAATTCATCTCTTGCAGAGCATGTGGTAGAAAAGATCAAATGTGGAGTAAATTTGTCAGTGTGCATGTAACGGAGAGTGTCCTGAATTATTTATTCACAGTAAACAGTCGAGGTCCATAATATGTGTAAAAACATGAAAATAAATACTTGCAAATACTTTGGTATATTTGAAAAAGTAATATCTTACTGGGGTTTTTTTAGGCGCCACTAACTGCCTAGAGTAAGTTCATTTGTTTTTTAATCCCTAAAGGAAAATTTAAGAGAAACCTTGTATCTTGAGCATAATGATGTCTACAATAATTGATCAGTTGGCTAGGACTATTCTAAAAGGTCGTTGTCCTGGCAGGAGTTAAATCTTCTATGTGACAGTCCACTGATTTTATTCTGTTGCCAAAGATCTAACCCAATCTCTTACAAGTCATCCTCAAAACATATCTTTTTCTTTTAACACATTGAGTTAAATAAGAGAAATAGATAATGTCATGCATGAAGACCTATAATCAACATTGGAAAAAATAATTCAAATACTAACATGGTATTTTTATATGTCAAAGAGGAATAAAGGAAATGAAATTTGTCTGGTTGTACCACTAGTATAGAACATTTTAGCTGCATTTTCAAGCAAAATAATACTGAGATTCAGAACCACAATCAATTCTAAATATGGTAGGATATGTTACCACCTGGTCTCAGCTATTTCATGTATTTTCCTGTACAGCTCAAGGTCTGTTCACAATAAACCCCCTGAGTAGAAAGCAAAGACCCATCTCTCTTTTTTTTTTTTTTTTTTTTTTTTGTAGATTTAAGAGCTATGAACAGGTCAACAACACACGTTGTGACTGAATTTGTTCTCCTGGGATTCCCTGGTTGCTGGGAAATACAGATTTTCCTCTTCTCTCTGTTTTTGGTGGTTTATGTGTTGACCTTATTGGGAAATGGAGCCATCATCTGTGCAGTGAGTTGCAACCCACAGCTACACACCCCCATGTACATTCTGCTGGGAAACTTTGCCTTCCTTGAGATCTGGTATGTTTCCTCCACTATTCCTAATATGCTAACTAACATTCTCTCCAAGACCAAGGCCATCTCATTTTCTGGGTGCTTCTTCCAGTTCTATTTCTTCTTTTCACTGGGCACAACTGAATGTTTGTTCCTGGCAGTCATGGCTTATGATCGTTACCTGGCCATTTGCCGCCCACTGCACTACCCTACCATCATGACTGGGAAGCTCTGTGGCATGCTGGTATCTCTCTGCTGGCTCATTGGATTCCTCGGATACCCAATCCCCATTTTCTTCATCTCCCAACTCCCCTTCTGTGGTCCTAATGTCATTGATCACTTCTTGTGTGATATGGACCCATTGATGGCTCTGTCTTGTGCCCCAGCTCCCATTACTGAATTTATTTTCTATACTCAGAGCTCCCTTGTCCTCTTTTTTACCATCATGTACATTCTCCGTTCCTATACCCTAGTGCTCAGAGCTGTTTTTCAGGTCCCTTCAGCAGCTGGCCGACACAAAGCCTTTTCTACCTGTGGTTCTCATTTGGTTGTGGTGTCTCTCTTCTATGGAACAGTCATGGTAATGTATGTGAGTCCTACATATGGCGTCCCAACTTTGATGCAGAAGGTCCTCACACTGGTGTATTCGGTTATGACTCCTCTCTTTAATCCTCTGATCTATAGTCTTCGTAATAAGGACATGAAACTTGCCCTGAAAAATGTCCTGTTTGGAAAGAGAATTAGTCAAAATTAATGAGCCAGAGGTAGGCTATACTTACAAGTTCTAATGATAAACGAGGTGAGCTCTAACAGTTCCTTCTGTGGTCTTACAGTCCTTGGTATGAGTAGTTAGACGTCATACAAAGATACTTCAAAAAGTTTGTGGGAAAATGGAATTAAAGTATATTTTCTTGCAAAAAAGTTTGAAATCCATTCATAGTTTTTTTAATAATACACATTTTACCATGAACTTTTTGAAGAGTCCTCCTATATTTTACCTGGAAGTGTTCCTAGTTGAAGGACCTTTTTTCAATTATGACTACATAAACTTTAGTTCACTAGTCTTCACCACCTAGTGAAAATGTTTTAAATGATTTTATCAGTCCTTATTGGAATGATAAAATGAGATTACTATTTGACATTATCTCCTACTGGGGTTCCCCATGGCTCATCACTGCATATCTTCTCCCTCATTGCAACAAGGCAATAAACATTCTTAGATTATAAGTATGTTCCTGGTAGTCTTTGCATGATAGGAATCAATAGTAATATAATACCCAGCATACAATAGAGCCTCAAAATGTTTCCTTCTTTTTGTGTTGCTACAAAAATAGCACATGATTGTTGTAACAAATTCAAGTAATTTGGTATGTAAGAGTATGGATATAAGTATATAAGAATGATGAATTTTCCACCTTCAGTCCCATTTTCACTATCAATTTTTCTATCTGCTCCTCAGAATCAATACATCTGAATTCCTCTATCTGGAATCAACACCCTGCATAATATGGCTTCAGTAACCTGTTTATCCATCATTACTTTCCAACATGAACCCCAGTTCTAGCCAGGCCAGTCAATTTATTCTACTCTTTATCATCCTTGTACCTTTCTTATACTTCCTTTCAACCTCAAGGGTCCTACCTCATCTTCTGCCATGCAACTTGAGAAAGATAATTAACAGTTAAATATTTAAGTTCTTATTTCATCAAATAAACATAATTTATGTCTTTCTTGTAAGAATATCATAAAATTAAATAATTTATATAAGGGCTTTCTTACAGAAGACTCTAAGCACATTTGTTGCCATCTCTTTCAAACCGACTAAGTAGTTTGCTGGTTATCTTTCAAATTTTTGTTATATTCACGAAAACATATATACTTAAAATGGTTTATTTAAAAATTAACGTGGGGGAACCAGCAGTTGGTGCAATGGCTACATCACTGGACTTCCATGTACTCAACTGCGGTTCAAGTCCCAGACCCAGAGGCTTAAACTAAAACCGGGCACATGTGCGTGTGTGCCCAAGATCTCAAGAGGAGAATGGAGGAGAAGGGATTGCAGCATGGCCATCTCCCATGGGGAATGATTTCTTACTTTCTGTCTCTCTGTCTGTCTCTGTCTTTCTGGCAAGTGCCATGTGCCCTATAGCAAAAATCTCTCCAAAAATTAAAAAAAAAATTAAGTTGGGGAAACAGATGGTAATGCACTCTGTGATGCTGGACCAACATGAAAAGGTGTCAGGTTTGAGTCCCCAGACCTTCTTGTTCATATCCATACACAAGTGGGCACTTGTGGTCAGGGCTGGCTGAGGCTGGGGTGGGTTGTGGTGTGAAGACACTGTAGGGGCCATCTCTCTCTCTCTCTCTTCTCTCTCTCTTTCTCTATTTCTCTCATAGATGAAATGAAAGCAAAATTAAAACAAGTTGGGATAGATAATAGAGATAGATAATAGACATGTAACCATAAAAGGACTAGTTAGAATACAAACTTTGGAATAAGACTTGTCATATCCTGGATTGTGTGCTTGCTAGCTAGGTGACCCCAGAGAAAGAAATTGCTTGAATGTTATGAGTGTCAGTTACTGCAGCTTAAAATAGGGTAAAACTAACACTTTAGGGTGGTTGGGTTGTCATGAGTCAATTTTCTTAAGGCACTTAACAGTTATTCTTGGCAAATAGTAGAGTTCAATAACCATCAGATAAAAAAACAAAGATTTTTTTTTTTTTTTTTTTTTTTGGACAAGGAGGTGCATGTGCTTCCCAGAAAGATACAGAAACAGGAAAGACCAGCAGTTAGTGTAACGGCTATGTCGCTGAACTCCCATGTAGTCAACCGTGGTTTGAGTCCCGGACCCGGTGGCTTAAACTCACACCAGGAGCGCGTGCATGCATGCCCAAGATTCCACAAGAGGAGAATGGAGGAAAAAGGATTGCAGCATGGCCATCCCCCCCAGGGGGTGATTTCTCGCTTTCTGTCTCTCGTCTCTCTCTGTCTTTCTGGTGCACATGCCCTATAGCAAAAACCTCTTCAAAAAAAAAAAAAAAAGGAAAGAAAGAAAGAAAGACAGAAAGAAAGAAAGAAAGAAAGAAAGAAAGAAAAAGAGACAGGAGTAGGGTGAAGGCAACCCCTCCCAGTAGGGTTAGTCGAGCCATAATCCCTTCTCCTTCATTTCTCCATCTCATCAGAATCTCAAGCACATATGTATGTGTACCCTTCCTATTTTTCAAGCCGCTGGAGCCAGAATTCAAACCATACAGTCAGTATGTAACATCAGGCTCCCTTAATCAGTAGGCTGTGAAGTTGGCCAAAAGATAAATCCTTTTAATTCAATAAAATATCATAGTATCTTTCTTTTTTTTAATTAACTTTATTTATTATTTTTTTTAATTTGCTGTAAGGCATGCGCACTCACCAGAGAGACAGAGAGAAAGGAATGACCACACTGCAATCCCTTCTCCTTCATTCTCCTCTCATGATCTTGGGCACACGTACATACACACACCTGGCATGAATTTTAAGCCACCAGTTCTGGGACTCGAACTATAATTGACTACATGGGAGTCCAGTGACATAACCATTATGCCTTAGAATGAAATATTATTCAACTTTTAAAAAGGAAGAAATTCCTGCCATTTCCAACAACATGGATAAATCTGGAGACATTATGCTAAGTGAAAAATAAGAATGAAATATTATTCAACTTTAAAAAAGGAAGAAATGAAATATATTCAGTTTTTCTTTTTTCTTTTTTTTTTTTTTTTGAGAGGTTTTTGCTATAGGGCACGTGCGCTCGCCAGACAGACAGAGAGAGACATAGAGACAGAAAGCGAGAAATCACCCCCCAGGGGGGATGGTCGCGCCGCAATCCCTTCTCCTCCATTCTCCTCTCGGGATCTTGGGCACACATGCACACGCGCCAGTCGTGAGTTTTAAGCCACCGGGTCCGGGACGCAAACCGCGGTCGAGTACGTGGGAGTCCAGAGACATAGCCATTACGCTAACTGCTGGTTCCCTTCAATTTTTAAAAAGGAATAAATTCTTGCCATTTTCCCATAGAATGAAATATTATTCAACTTTAAAAAAGGAAGAAATTCCTGCTATTTCCAACATGGGTGAATCTGGAAGACAGTATGCTAAGTGAAAAATAAGTCATATACAGTGCATAAACTGCAAATATGATAAGTGTAAAATAGCCAAACTCATAGAAGCAGAGATTGAAATAGTGGTTGCCTGGACAAGAGGAAATTTTTGTTTTAAAATTATTTATTCAATTTTATTTACTATTATATTTAATTTGCTATAGGGCACATACACTGACTGACCAGAGAGAGAGAGAGAGAGCAAGTGAGAAAGGAAGCGGCCAAGTACAGGACTCAAACCATGGTCTACTATGTGGGAGGCCAGCGCCTCAACCACCATACCATCTGCCAGCCACTAGGGGGAGCTTTAAACAGAAAGCTATTATTAGTTAACGGGTTTAAAGTTTCTATTACACACCATAAGTACTAAAGAGCTACAGTACAACATAGAGTTTATAGCTAACCACATTGTGTCACATACTTAAAATTTTGCTAAGAGGGAGGTCTGTGTTAAGTATTCTTATCACAAATAATGATGATTATAAGAGTTAGGTGATTGTGGGGCCAGCAGGTGGCGTAGTTGGGACAGCTGGACTCCCATATGACTAACCACAAGTCTGGACCTGACAGCTTGCTCTCCCACTTTCCTTCTCTCTTTCTGTCTCTCTCTGGTCAACTTCAATAAATAAAATAATGACAATGAATAAAATAAAATATTTTTTTAAGTTTGATGATTGATAGGCTTATAGCAAAGATCATGGTGATGATTTCACAATGTATACTAATCACCAAACTCATCAAGTTGTATACATTAAGTATGTACATTTTTATGGCAATCAAATCTCAGTTAAGAGCTGGGGGAAGGGGTTTGTTTGGGTTTGGTTTTTTTAATCTAAATTTGTTCTCCAAAGAAATCTGGAAACAAAAGCAAAAAACCCTTTATTCACTGAATTTTCCACTTTAGGCCAGGGAATGGTCTTACCTATCTACTGTACTCTGCTGCTGTCTAGTGGTCATTATGCCATTATGCATCCATTACACTTCCAAGCATAAAACGGGAAAAACCTCAACCCACCCAAATGTAATATGAAAGGAGTTTATTGAGGAATCGAATCTTCTCATTAATTTAAAACTGACCAGCAAAAAACTCTTCTGTTATTGAATGCTAAAGCATTTTTAAGGTATATTTTATTACTTTTAGACCTTACTATGTTAAAAATAATTTAATCTTTCATCCCACAAAACTCCCACATGGCTGGCCATGGTTCAACTTCCAGACCTGGCAGCTTGCTTTCTCACTGTCCTTCCCTTTTTCTCTCTTTCTATTTCTGTGTCCCTCTCTGGGTAAGTGCCTATATCAAACTTTAAAATAATAATAATGGGACCAGCAGATGGTGTAATGGTTACATCACTGGACTTCCACATGGCCAACCGCTTTGTGAGTTCTGGACCCAGTGGCTTCAAATTCATGCTGGGCACATGTGTGTGCATGCCCAAAATCCTAAGAGAATGCACGAGAAGGGATTACAGCATGGCCATACCTCCTGGGAGGTGACTTCAAAAATCTCTCTCTAAAGAACAATAATAATAATTAATAAAAATAAATAAATAATTCTTTTTAAAAGAAAAAAATTTATATACACCACAGCAAGCAAAAAATTGTCATTGACATTG